GCAACGAAGATGGCCGTCCGGCTAGGTTGATATATGAACGCGAATTTTCACCTTAACAACGTGCTGTTTACGCCACGTCAAACAAAAAGAATTTGTATATTTTAGACAATTACTACAAAAATTCACCTTATCTCCCATAATTTAATAATTCTTTCACCATTTTTTATAATGCGAAATTCGTCAATCGATTTATCGTGGGCCATAAATAATTCATCACATCTCATGTAATTTTATATGTAAAAGTTCAAATTTTCCTTACAAATTGTTTGAATAGTGAACCTTTCATAACTATTTACTTGACACGTGTTTATAAACCGAAAGAACGCGTAACGACGGGAAAGTGACGCAAAGTCATAGGACCAGCAAGGGTGTAATGTTACCTTTGATCTATTCAAAATAAGTTGTATATAAAGGTGAAATAAGTCAAAATAAAAATTTTTTATCGTATACAAGGAGAAACTTACATTTTCTCGCCTGTGTGAGGACGCGAAAGAAGACAATTGCACGCATGGAGCGAGAAAATTCAATTTTGTCGGCTAGGCGAGAAAAAAAATACGTCTTATGTAAGCTAGATGGCGCGGTTGTAATAAAATGTCAAAGAAGTTATTTCTTTTTAATTAAATAAGAAACATAAAATCGTCAACACTGATTTAATAATTAAATTTACCCTATGTTCACTTTATTTTACTGAATTCAAGAATTTATTTAATTACCGCGAACCCATACCTATCATATCAATGTTTCGTGAATTTGAATACTTTCCCAATGTCACGTGACCAATTCAAACGTTTCAAACTTAAGTCATAATCTCCCATTTACTTTCAATAACGAGCATCTGTGTCAATACATTTAACACCAAGATGTACTTTGCACTGTAAGTAGAACACCGCTTATCCATAATAATTAAGTAGCATTTTAACATACGAGACTACCCCGAAGTTAAAATGTGTCCAGTGTGACTGTAAGGAATGAACAAATCTATTTATAAAACACGTTTTTTTAAAATACAAGATCATCAAGGATTTAAAGTGTGCCCATTGCGCTTTCGTCGCCAAGCATAAATCCAGTCTTAAAAGCATCTAACATTTGACAAGACATGGATACTACGAAGGATTTAAAATGTAACCGGTGTGATTTTGTCCCTGAAAAACGCCTGGCCATGTCTTCCTTCGCCCCGGAAAACAACCACTTTCCCGCCTTGGTACACAAAGTACTATTAATGAAGTAAAGTAACTCCAAGCAAGAAAAAATAAAGGGTTCATAAACGCCAAGCGTGCAATTACTGTAGTAGTTCAGTTAAAAGGTACAAAATGAATTTCAAACTCCAGAAACCCTTAGCTGAGACATTGAATTTATATGGGAAATCCATTACTAATGAAAGTCCCTATCGATACTAAATTTGCAATAAGTTAATAACAGTTTTTGTATGTTTATTCAAGCACTCAATACACCTGATTTCTATTAAAAGCATGCCAATTTCCTGTAACATGCAGTCGTATTGTGTGTATAGTTAGTAGTTCGTACAGTTACCAAATGTGAAGCTTAAATATCGGAGCGTTTTCATAACTCATTTTATAAAGCTAGAAGGCATATTCGTTTTGTCGGTTCTTTCTCTCCTCTGCACCAAACTCGTATGGTTTGATTTATTGTTAGGGGATTATCGTGATTTGCTGCAATTAATATCCATGTGCGTTTGTGCTTTAAGATGATTTTTAGCGCATTTCCACAAAAATAAAAAAAATGCGCTATTGTGGCCACTTTGTCCGCCCGTCCGTCCGTCCGTTCGTCCGTTCGCTACTTTTGCGACGCTACTAGTTCTTTATCTTAAGAGCTATTGTTCTACTTTTTTCGCTATTTGATTCGTTATGGTATCGAGTCTTGTACCAAGGAAGGAATTTTTTCTGCGTTTATTGCTAAAGAAAGTTATTGTAAAAAAACCAACAAACCGTTTTTTACATGTTCCATAATTTTACACTTTTGCCGTTTATTAACCATCCTAGAGATCATTTATAATTTTGTATTGTTGTCTGTCGTCTGTCTGTTGGTCTGTCCGTCTGTTCCTGTGCCTGTCTATCCCTCTATCTGTCCGTGTGAACGATAATTTTGTTTAGAAATGTCCGATCGCTTTTACATCTCCGTTAGTTATGAACTGAATTGCATGAAATTCAATATGGGCATAGCCTTAGCCATATAATACGCAATGCCAAAAGTTGAGTCGAATCGATTCAAAATTGACAGTGCCCTTTTCGCATCTCGACCATTTATAAACCGAATTGCAAACTTTTTTTCTTATAAAAGTATTTGAATGAAATTTGATACATAGGCACTTGAAATAAAGGAAAATCTAACGCCAGTTTCAAAATTTGGTTTTGCGCATGCGCATTGTCAACTATTTTATTTATGGAAGCATTTAAATGAAATTTGATACTTTGGCGCTTGGAACAAAGGAAAATCTAACATTAGTTTCAAAATTTAGGTTTGCGTATGCGCAGTTCCAACTTTATTATTTAGAAAAGCATTGAAATGAAATTCTTCTTATAAACTGAAATTGAAATAGCATGTCAAAAATGGATGGCTCATGTGCAACGTTATCTTTCATATTATTGTGGCCGGATTTTTACGATTTTAACAGAAGTTGCATCTTACAAATGGGAAATGAATGCAAGTGGAAATGCGCTTTATGTAAATCGTTTACGATTACTTTTTAACTTGTTAATTTTTCATATGCAATGCGTGTCATTATATTAATATTAGTTTTGAGTTTTGGCCATGTTCTTCAGAAGCACGGTTTTAATACTTGCGAGGTGGTCGTCTTATTTGTTTTTCGCGGTTCAACCAAATTGCAGAAAAAGTTTAAAACAATAATACCTATAATTTTCGAGTACTGTAAGCGGATAAATTGTTTTTTGCTTTTTAATCCTTACCTTACGCGTTTATAAGAAATGCATTTTTTTACAGATAAGAAAGATGCCGCTAGATGATGATAATAATAAGGCTGCACAAAAATGAATTCGGTATAGTATAAGATCCCACATAAGGTCAACCTTCGAGCATCTATTTACCAAGTGAAATACATTTTTTTCGCAATCTTAATATATAAACAAACACATTACAAATGGGTTATCTACAAAAATTCAGTCAGGACTGGCTAAATCTAATTGTGATTGGTGATTTATTTAAAAATTCATGGAGTGTTTTATTGTGGAACTGGTCTTCCCTGAAATATTGGAGACAACGAAAAGACTGCTTGTTTTTTGTTTTGCTCGTTTGCTAGTAACGATCGGAGAGCGTTGCGTGATATTTGTTACGCTGATATATTGGGCCATTTCCCTATTTATTTGGTTGGATATTGTAATAAAGTGTGCAGAAAGAGTTAAGCAATCTTTATAAAAGATTTAAGTTATTAGATCGTCAAATAAAGTAGTTAAAGTGGGAAGGTTTTTTAAAACGTGTTGTCCTCGGTGTTGCTCGTTATTGGAAGAGTTAGTAGGTGTGTAAGTGGACCAAGCAAGTTGTTGCATACTGATATAAAGGTTTCTTTTCATTAAAAGTTAGAAGTGCTTTACCGTCCGAAAAGCCACCAGTTTTTTCATCAAATCCAACAAACCAAAATTTGGAATCAAGTTCAGTGTTATCAAGAAAAAGTGAAATGTGCACCTGAATATCGTAAAGTTGTTCCGACCGGTTTGATTGGATTATTTAATAATGGTCATTAATTTTAGATTTCTTTATTTAATTGTCTGATGACGCCTTCCCGCGTCTTATTTAATTTTGTTTACATGTTTGGCGGAATAAATGTTTGTCTTAATCGAACTCAAAGTGCGACCCAGATAGGATTTTTGTGTCACATTTTTCTATTCGTGCCCAAGAATCCCGTCAGGTGTTAATGAAAATGTGTGTAATTAATTCTTTGCAAATTTTCCGAAGTTGATGGAGGCTACTGGGTTTCCTGAATTATTAATTTAAAGTCTACATTGAGACTTTTCGTTGTGACAGGATCCGGTCATCTACGAGGAAAATAATTACAATTCTATATTTAAAGGTTGTTTTGATTTGAGCTAGCTGAACAGCTGTTTTGTGGGTGACTTAGGGCTAATTGCATCCTCAAAATTAAATAGCTCTTAAAGTAAAGCATAACTTAAATACCATAGCAACGATTGTCTTAATAATCGTTGCCATAGATTTTAAGTTCGACTTGACTTTAAACAAGCTTTGTTGGTGCAACCGGGGCTTAGTGATCGTTTGCTATTGCGCATAGCAGTACACTAATTAAAAGTTTACCAGCTTTCCTTTATACTATCTAATCTACCTGAAATGTATACCACCTACCAATAATTCACGATCCTATTTATACTATTTAAAAAGAATGCACATTCTGACTTCTAAAGTTCGTGCCACTTGCCACAACACAAAAAGCGTGCGCCGACTGTTTTCTTCTACGACTGTCGTGTAGTACACGCGGCTTCCACACGCCCGCCGGGCGGCTTGCGCACGTTTTGCACACGGCTTGAAAACACGCAATTGTGCATCAAGCCTAAAATGGAACCAACGCAAACTACTGTTGCGGAGATCTTGAAGTTGCCACGGGAATTTTTTTCAACCCGATATTCTCTCTACTTTTCGTTAGCAAAACGGACGTTTGACCTCTAGTGAGTAAAATTTGTGTATCGGTTACCATGCCTTCGGTTGCTATGAAAATTATTGTAAGAAAATCATCATCATTAGACATAGAAACGAACCTCGAGAAGGAAAAGGGAATTGGCCACGACTAGCCAGGGGAAACGGATCTTCCAGTGAAACTTCCACCAAGGTATGACAAAGCTCATAATTTTGGGCGCCAAGCGTGTACAAGTCACGCCAAAAAGTAAATAAAAATAAAATAAGAACACAAGCTTTGTGAATTTTCGGACACCAGTAGGTGTATAACCTTCGTCTTGGCAATGAACAATCCAGATATACAAATAACATTTAATTGAATAAACATACAATGTAATAGATCAGTTAGAAATAATCGATAGTTAGCATTCTTCAATTCGAACGTGAGTATAGGTATTTGCATTTCATTACAACACAATACTTCTAGACTGCGATAACCCCAATACTAGTAACGTACAAAGAAAAATATATCCAAAACCTATAATACAAAAAATCAGACCTAAATCAAATTAATAAATGAGTTTCGGATTACAATATAGGAAAAACAAAGATAGGTAATTAAATTAACACATACCTATGGCATAATCTAAAACGAAACGTGTTAACAAGAGGAATTCTATGAAAATAACATTACCTAAAGAGGGTTACAGCCCTGCTCCATTCGCGTGAAGAGGCTTAGATAAACAATTTAAACAATTTTAGCGTGATGACTTTGGAATTTTTCAATTCGAAGCAACATTCTTTGCAAAGATAGACATGTCATTCTCACTACAAGAGCAAAAGTGAAGTCATGTCAATATCAAGGGTAAAAACTGCGCCTAACACACTAAGAGCGCATTCAGTCAGTTACACAAACCAGAGTACATTCAAAGAAACGTCACAAAGCTATAACTTAATGTATTCTCATGTACAAACAGAAAGATAAATAAATTAACTAACGGCATGACCTCGCGTTAGCATTAACGACAAACGTAAACGTAACTTCTCTATTTCATGTAATCAATTGTAGAGGATTGTCACGACAATGGCAAGATAAACTAATGACAAAAGCAATTACAGGTTACCTGCACGTTTGGAATTCCCGGTATTTTAGATAAACATTTGCGTACAAAGTCTTCGATTTTAGATAGAATATGTTAGATCAGTTCCAGCTAACAGACAGGAATCAATCTTCGATTCGAAAGTGAATGTTGGCATTCCATCCAGAACACAGTTTACTTCATTAATGCCACAACTCCAATGCTCGTAACATACACAAAAAATTACATCCAAGAACTACAATATTTACCAATATTCGAGCCGATATTAGACTAAAATCCAATACTTCATACTTACGTACCCAATTAATAAATGGGTTTCGGATTGCGATATAGGTAAAATAAAAGTAGGTAATTAAATTATAGCGTATGGCATAACCTAAAAAGAAACGTGTTAACCAAGGAATCCTATGAAAATCGCTTCACCTCAAAAAGATAAAATAAAATAATTTTGAAAATTTTCGTTTGACTCTGGAATAATCCATTTCAGATTTGCTCTTTCGCAAAATAAGAGCCTGTCATTTCAATGACAAAAGCAAAAGTGATATTTCCCAATTTCCAATTCTACCAACACGCATTTACTCAAAATAAGAGTACATTTGACGAAATAACGGGACATCACAATATTTCGCAAACGTCATCTAGACGGTGCAACTCATATTTCAATAAATTATAAGCATTCGGAATAAGTAATTCTACGCTTTGTTGTACGTACTTTGGCATTTTAAAAAGGGGCATCTAGCTACAAGTACAACAGTTGTACATGCATGCTCTTTTTATGATAGTCAGTAATATTTTAATTTAAAATTATATATGCTACTTAGATGTAACATCAACCCGAATTAATTTCAGTGTTGAGGGCTAGCTCTAATCTACCAGTGCCAAAATAATAAACGTAATATAAAATAAAGAGCGTTGGTAAAGGTATATACGGTGTAATGTTATACGACTGTTTACACTTTTAGTACTGTAGAAAAACCTGGAAATAGCGTAATAAAGCCCTTTATCACGTTTTACACTTGTTACTAGAGATTTGAGCCTACAATACCTTTTTATTTTATATCAGATGTTAAATTGACATTTTAATAGGTTTGAATGAATGAGTAGCTGTGTCTCTTTAAAGTTGGAGTATAGATATAGTGATCATGATCACTTCAACGGTAAAGATTGAAACAAATAATTGTGCATTCCAATGACATCTGTCATTTTTATTAAAAATGAGATGCGGTGCACGAAATAAAATTAGGTTCAGAACAGAATACAATATTGTTTTCGAGAAAATGACGGAATAACGTAAGTTTGCTATTTTCGAAGTCTAAACTTAAATACCTCCAGAATTTTCAGAAGTTTTATAATCATGTTTATGACTTCTTCTGTACAAACATCCCTTTATCGTATTTTATAGTAAATAACTATTAATCCGCCACACAAAATGTGATGTGTTCTCCACCAAAAATTCAGCCCGAATTGTTATGTCGACAAAAAAGATATTGCCAGCATCAGTAGATATGCATTTCACCAAATTTCACTTGTATTATAATGTAATGCGAGTAGACCCTTAATACTCCTAATTGTCTTCAAGACAATTAATAACAGGTGAATTAGCAGTAAAATCCCAGGGTTGTAACAATTGTTGGATATGATCAAATGAGTGGCCTGCACCCGTAGTGTATAATTTAAGCAAAAAGTTGTACTAAACGTTATTTACCTTTCAACTGCAGGACACGGTTAACACAGGGGACCGTATCACCGACCTCGGAACTAATAAGTGTCCGCCTGTTTCAGTCAGTTTATACTCGTGTTACTGATCTTTTTGTGTGAGTGCGTTTAATTTGTAAAGTATCGTTAAGGAAACATTTTTATGTCGCTATGCGTGATCCTTTTCGAGATACAATGCCTTCCAAATTAAACCTTTAATTGTTTAACTTTTTCTCTTTATCTAATGAGCACTGTAATAATTTAATTAAAGTGATTAAGTTGCCATTTCCATACACATTAAACCTTTTGCAGACCATTAGAATGAAATTAACTTCGAACAGTAATTATTATGTTACAAACTTTGTGATCGTGGTATATTACTTATTAATTAATTACGTATTACTAGATACCTTTAGTAATTGTTATGGTTAGCATTGGAATATTTCCACTGCAGTATCAATACCTAATGAAATATGCACAAGTTTATTTAGGTAGGTAGTCGTATAATCACAGCACAAATACTTCTTCCTGAACATAGAATTTACTGCTGTACCTATATTATTAACGATCCTCGAGATCGTTTGTAATTTTGTATTGCTGTTTGTCTGTCTGCCCGTCTGTCTGTCCGTGTGCACGATAACTTTGTGTAGAAACGTACGATCGCTTTGAAAATTGATACACATGTTCTTCAGGTAATATATAAGAAAGGTCGCTATTGTTTTTCGGCTACGTAGACTAACGTTACAGCCCAAAAACTGCCCAAACCTTCAAAAAAAGGTTTCTATTATAATTCTTGTTACAAAGAACATGAATGTCCGGTTTTCTGGTAGTAAATATTCCTTAAACCTCAGGTAACTATGCAGATGTATAAACAAAAATGCGCATGCGCATTACAACTTTTCTATTTGCGCAATCCCAATTTTTTTATCTGCTAAGATATTTAAATGAAATTTTGTACGTTGGCATCTTGGCATGTTGGCTTTACTTTTGTAAAACTGATGGCGGTAAACAATTGTTTTGTGTTAGTTATGAACCGAATTACATTAAATTTTGTACGTAGGCACCTCAAATAAAAGTAAAACCGATGCCGAATCAAAAAAATTGTTTTGCGCATGCGCTATTTCAAATTTTTTATTTGTTCAGATATTTAAATGAAATGTTGTGTATGTTACCGGCAAAGTTCGAAATCCGGCATTTTGCAAAATCCCTAGGCATTTCGCAAAATGACCAATGCACCAGGCAAAGTGAGAAATGGAGCTCGAGTTCGCACTTTGTCTGCCTCTCTTTAGTGATTTCGCGAAATGCCCATACAGGCCAAGTGCAAAGGCTTCGTCATTTCCCACAGATTGCGCGTACAGCGTTGCCATTTGATTGTACGACGATTGCGATTTTATATAAGTACATAATACGGACCTAACGCCAATTCAAAAATTTGTTTTACAAGCTATGCTGATCTGGTGGGACAGAATGAATCCCTTAAAGTGTGTTGTAAGAATGATGTATATGCGAAGATCTCGAGGATCGTTCGGTATTCAGTCGTATCGGATTTTTCTTGTTAATAACAAGCTAGCAATTTGGTTGGTGACATGATTTTGTGGTAATTCAATCAAATTTCAATAAATTGCGTCTATGTAACTCAGAAAGTAAGTTCATTACACATAAGTTAATAAGCTTATGAAAGAAATTTAAAAATACAAAGAAAAACATTTTGGACTTTTGGTACCATCCAATTTTTCCACATAATTTTTTTATTGAAAATTTTCTACGAGAACAGATGTAAATACTCCGCGAAATTCTCTCTGGTTACGGATATGCACGAACTTATAAATTAAGATGGACTGCTAATGCTGAATTGACAAATGACACCTACATGGGCGCAGCCATGATGTGCACTAACTTGGCGCGAAATTCAAATCAACTAATAAACAAGCATTAACTTCACGTTTTCTAAATAAATTACTGTGACACATGTCATTTTCCAAGGCTGCAATAGTCTCAAAACTTGAGCACTAGGAAAATTCCCCTAGAAAATAACTAAAACGTGCACATCATGGCCGCGCCATTTCTATCTCTATGCACCTGTTTGATCAGCAGCCCATCTTAATTTATAAGTTCGTGCGGATATGTCAAATTCAGGGTCAAATTAATTTTCTCGGAGGACCTGATGTCACATTACGTGACCTGGCGTCACATTACGTGACGTCACTTGTGCTACCATCAATAGCGCATTCGCACATCCAGATGCAGTTTGGTGCTTATGGACAAACAGTACATGCTTGCCAAACGTGACAATGACAGCACAAGGAGATTATGTTTTGTTTTAATACTTCCATTTAATCATTTAGGTCAATTTGACATCAATGCGGTTCGAAACAAGGATAGTATTATCGAAGAATGACGCAAACTAGTAAGAGAGGCATTAATCCATAAGACTCCATACTGCATCTGGAGGGGCAAACGCGCTAATAGTTGTTGTTGTCACGGAAAAAGGCCTTAATGTTCCATAATCCTGTTGATGACCTGGTAGGTGATTTTGTTTTGGATTTTTCCTGGCCGAGGCGCTGTGTGGGTTACGTGTTTTTGTTTTGGATACCTGTTACCTACCTGAGGTGCTGGTCACTTCGCGAACGTGTCGAACCTGATAAACAAAATTTGTATCGACTGTGGAAACAAACCTCTGCTCAACATTATGGTAAGAACAGAAAGCATCGACCAACAAGTCTGTTACTTCAGATAACCGGAAAGTTTCTATACAATCGTAAAATCATCACCGGTTTAATCTCGGGTTTAATACTGTGTTTTTACACGAATTAACGAATAAACTACGTATATTTTCCTACAAACAAATAACAAACTAGATTCTTTATACAAATCTAAGAATGCAAATCGCAATTATTGAATTTATAGCTATCTAAATTCAAATTCAAATGCAATCACTAGCTGATACAATAATAATCTACATATTATATTTTCATACCAAGTTTTGGTCTTAGGTATACATACATATATCTAAAATTTATAATAACAATAATA